AAACTATCTAATCATACTACCTAAATTTAAACTATATGTATTGTCCTATGACTAAAATTTATAACAAGCATTACTTTGGATTCTGCATGGCCTCGAACAGGAGGAGAAGGAGGAGGAGGTCTAAGGTGGGGTGGAGGTGACACCAGGCTTAGTGGTAAATACAACTGATCCTAGAGCCTTTCTGGGTCCCAGTCTATGCCTGTTCACTCATCATTCTAGTTCCCAGTCTCTTTCTCTGGCTCTCTTTGGAGACAGAGGGAACCCCTTAGTCTCCTGGATCTGTCCAGATCGTTATGGGATCAAAAAAGGAAATGGGCAGGGGAATGGGAGGATTAGGGGGAGACTGAGTTAGGGGAAAAGAGAGGAAAAGTCATAATAGAGATTCTCCCAGAAGCAAGGCCTTTTCTTGGCTTAGGGGCTCAGGCCTCAGGGCAGGAAGGTTTCTTTATGGGCCCTAACTTGCTAGGAGGTAGCAGTTAGCATCTAGGCCCTTATTCTCTCGCAACTTCCATCACCTAAATTCCAAAATTACGTCCAGCCAATACTCGTAAGACAATCTCTGAGGGACCCTAGCTTCTTATAAGTTGCTGTATTCCTCTCCCCAAATATCTGTCATAAAACCAGATCAAATGAGGAGTCTAGGCTGTGCAATGGGATCTCAGAGGTTACATCTGTTGTGAGATTAAGTTGCTTCATACCCTTCAAATGCACTTATACACATTTCAACTCATCAAAATTTTGGAATTCTAATCAATTTATGCCTTTGGAATTCTCCCAGAGCTAAGAGCTGAACATTTTAGCTGGACTTGGCCTTAGCAGATGGAGGCTTACATCATTCTAGATCATAAATAAAACATCAATTTTTATCTCAATGAAATTTACATATTATTTTAATTATTTAAAATATTCCATATTTTAACCCTAACCACAGCCTATCATTGTTGTTATTATGTGTCGTTGAATTGCTTGTGACTCATAGTGACCGTATGTACAACAGTTCTGAACCCTGCTCTATCTTGAGTTAATTTCATTGTCTCTGACACTACTCCTACCCTCATTACCCCAGTCACTGAGTCAATCCATATCACCCAGGGTCTTCCTCTCTCGTGCTGTCCCTCCCAAGCATGATGTCCCTTTCCAGGGACTTGTCCCCCCTTGCAACATGCCCAAATTATGTCAGACGGAGCTTCAGAATCCTTGCCTCCAAGGAGCAGCCTGGTTTCACCCTCTCCAGGAAGCAGCTATTTGTTCTTCTAGCAGTCCATGGTATATTCAACACTCTTCTACAGCACCATAGCTCAAAGACATCAATTCTTCTATTATCCCTAGTCATTGTCCAGCTTTCTGATGCATAGCAGGTAATCACAATGACTATGGCCTGTGAAGATCAGGTGCACCTTACTCTCTATACTGGCATTTTTGTTCTTCAGTGTGCTGGAAAGTCCCCTCACAACAGATTTTCCCAATGCAATTCGTCTTTTGATTTCCTGACTGCTGGTACCAAGTGTGTTGATTATGGAGCTGAGCAAGCTGAAATTACTAACAATCTCTTCACCGTCTATCATTATGCTGCCAGTTGGCACAGTGGGGAGAATCTTTGTTTTCTTTATGTTACGCTTCAATTCATATTGAAGGCTTCAGTCCTTCACCATCTGCAGCAAATGCCTCAAATCCTTCTCAGTTTCTGCAAGCAAGGTTGTGTCATCTGCATAACACATATTGTAGATGAGTGTTTCTTATCATAGAGCCCAACCTCCTGGATTAACTGTTCCACATATAGATTGAAAAAAGTATGGAGATAGGATGTATCCCTGGTTTACACCTTTCCTGATTTTGAACCATGCAATGTTTCCTTGCTCGGTTCTGACAACTGCTTCCTGGTCCAAGTATAGGTTTCTCGTAAGCACAATCAAGTGTTCTGGGATTCCCGTTCTTCTCAGATTTAGCAACGGTTTGTTGTGATCCACACTGACAAATGCCTTTGCATAATCAATAAAACACAAAGAGACATTCCTCTGGTACCCTTTATTCTAGCTAAGATCCATCTAACATTGACTATCATGTCCTGGTGCCACGACTTCTTCTAAACCCAGCCTGTACATTAGGAAGTTCTCTGTCGATGTGCTGTCCCAGATATTTTTGGATACTTTTCAGCAGGATCTTGCTTGCTTGTGATATTAATTATATTGTTTGATAATTTCCACACTGTTAGGTCACCTTGTTTTGAATGGTAACAAGTACAGATCTCTTCCAGTCAGTTGGCCAGGTGATTGTCCTCCAGATTTCTTGGCACAACTTGGTGAGCACATCCAGGGCAGCTTCTGTTTGTTGAAATATGTCAGTTGTTAGTCCATCAATTCCTGGGGCCTTGTTTTTTGACAATTCCTTCAGAGCAAGGAATTGCTCTGAACTGCCTCATCACCACCATTGTCTCTTGATCATATCTTGTTTCATTAAATTCTTCTGTGTTGGCCAATTCTTTTTAGTATTTGGAGTCTGTGTACTCCTTCCATCTTCTTTTGATGCTTCCTGGGTCATTCAACATTCTGCTCCCAACATCCTTAAGTATTGCAACCTGAGGTTTGCATTTGTTCTTTATTTCCTTCAGTTTAAGAAATTCTGAGCCAGTTTGTCCCTTTTGCTTTTCCAACTTCCAACTCAGCTCTTTGCACTTTTCATTATAACATTTTGCTTTGTTTTCCTGAAGAGCCACAGCCTAGCCTTACCCAAATTTCAGTCTCAATTCTAACTCAGTTGTAAATCCACTCCTAAATCAATCTCCACCTAGCCTTCAATTCAGCCCTTATTGGAAACTAAAGCCTCATTCTTTTATAATACAATGCCCAGTCTCAGTTCTAGCCATAGTTCTAACTCTAATCTCAACCTCAAATCTAACCTCAACCTCATTCATAATTTCAACTAACCCCAACCTTAACCCAAGATCCAGTCTTCACCTTAACTATAACATTAGCTCAAATCCAATTAAGCTCCAACATGTACTTCAGCTTAATGGAATCTTCAGTCCCTCCTTCTCAGTCTCCCTCTTCCTAGTCCCCCCTGCTATCTCCACCCTTCACTGGCCTTCCATGCTCCCCTCCCCTATCCTGGATGGGCCTAGCAACCTGGAGGGACACCAAAGCTGTTTTCTTGGACCACTCTGGACTGACAGGGTGTCTCGGTACCTCCAGATCAGTTTTCAGCAGCTTCTCCTTGATTGAATCCCTGTGTTTCTGCTGGCCTCCGTTTCCTCATCTGTAAAATAGGGATAATGATTCCTGCCCTCCAGAGGGAACATGACAATCCCATAAACCTCAGAATAAACAAGGAAATAAGGATACTCATTGTGTACATCTGGTGGGCCCCAGAGTGCCCTATTATTGTTGGGAGTGTTTTTTTGGGCTGGGGGTAGGTTTGGAACTCAGAGATGCGTGGATTCTATGCTTCATTCACGTGCTTATTTTCCCTGGAGGGATGAGTCCTGACAGCATTCCTGAGTCCTATACTTTCCCCAAGACTTGCCCCCTCTGCCCTTCCTATGTCCCAGGTAGAAAGAGAGAGAGGGAGAGGAGGACCCCTCATCACCTGACCTTACCATGGTGTGTGGGCTGTACTGGAAGCCCAAAGGAGGCACAGAGATTGTCCTCACACCCCCTGGACCAACTAGGCAAGGGCTGATCCTCCACAGGTTCCCTTCTTCCACTGGAACCCTCCAGGATCTCCATTCCAATCTTCCCAGAAGTGGGAAGACTGAAGTCATTCCAGTGATCAGTCAGTCCAGGTTACGAGGGTCTTGTACATAGAAAGACAGATACCCAGTGGTCCGTAAAAAGAGATACGCAGAGCAGTTTAGCCTAACAGGCACCCGTTTGCCTCCTGCACGTGTGTCTCAGTGAGTGTGTGTGCAAACACACATGGGCACACGCCTCCTCCTCAGTTCATCTGGCGTTGTTCTCTCAAAAACGCCCTCACATACAAATTTTAACTCCCACCCTATTCAGGCCTCACCCCTCTGTTCTAGTCCTTCTCTTCTCAGGCCCAACCAGAAGCTGAGTTCAGTTCTTTGTCAGAACAGGAGGGTGAATCCTCCATAATGCTCCCTGGCTCCTAGTGATCCCCTGCCCCTGGGGATGATCTTGCTGGGGGCCTAGTTCCAGAAGGGCTGCAGAGAGCAAGACCCTCTTCCCATACACACCCTTTCCCTTGGCCTTCCAGCTCAGGAGGCTGGATTTCTTTGAAGGCCAGAGGCTTTAGGGGGCGTGCTGCTTGGGCATTCCTGAGTCCCTTTCATCTGCTTGATCCTTCCAGCCTCAGATGCTGGCAAAAAGGGGAGTGTCTCCTTTAGCGGTACCCCTTCCCACAGACCTCCCTCAGGGTTTTGTGCTTCTGGGGTTCCCTTGGAGGGTCAGGGATGTAAAAGGGGAGCAGGAATTTGGAATCTTGGCATATTCATGGGGAATGTGACACTTTCCTGTGCCTTAGGCCTAGTGCTACCCTTTCAAGGCCTGGCTACCTGTCCTCCCCAAGCCTGGCCTCTCTTTCCTCTTTCCCACTCCCCCAGGGAAGGAGGCAACAAATGAGTGGTGAGGGGAGCTCCTCAGACGCTGTAAAATGGGGCAACTGTTGTCACCCCGAGGATGGGGCCAGGAGGAAGTGGAGTTTTAACAGGTGCCTAATTATTAGTCCCGCTGGCCGCCCTGCACCACTCTTGGGATAGGGAAGAGCTTGGGTGAGGGCAGGGTAATGCCTGGGTAGGCCACTGTCACCCTGCTAATTAGGGTTTCTGGGACTCCTCCCCAAGGCGGGGTCCAGGCCCCCTCCCTCCCATAAAAATAACTCCGCTGCTCCTCAGCCTGGCACTCATTGCACCTTCCTGCCACCCCGGGCAGTGACTGGGCCCTCAGCTCCCCTCCCCTCCATCCGCCCCCACACCTACTACCACCACCACCATCACCACCACCACAACCACCACCACTGGCCCCAGGGATAGCCAGTCCAGGCGGAGGAAACACCGAACCTAGAGACATGGGAGTTCGAGGAGCCTTCCACCTTCTTCTTGTGTGCCTGAGCCCAGGTATGGCGGGGATGTCCAGCACGAGGCAAGACGATCAATGAAAGAGCAGCGAGGATCTCACCAAAGGGTCTCGAAGGTGGCCTGTGACATCCTGGCAGCGTGCTGTCCACCCTTGCTCTGCTGTCATCCTGGTTTGGAGGGGCTGTGACTGAAGGTCTGGTGCATGTCTGTGCGGGTGGGGAGCTCTGTAAGTGGATGCTCACTGAGCCCATCCTTACAGGGGCCCTGCATGCACATACCTGCTGATGGGAAGACGGGCTTGCCCGGAGTTACCTGCAGGAATGGAGGTGGGGAAGGTGACTTTCTACCAGCAAAGCTGGGTGGGGGCTGAGGAGGAGCCTGGGAAGGATCAATTGTCATCAAATCATCTCTGCATGGTTCCCAATGTGGTCCCTCCCCTTGCCGTCAGAGCCAAGGGGCAGGGAAGTTGCTCTCCTTGAAAGGGAAGGGATCTGAGCTGGGGTGAGTCTGAGCGGGTGTTTCCATCATCATAGTCAGAGAGAGATCAGACCTGTGAACCAGCATGGGGCTCACTGTGTGTGAGAGGACCAGAGTAGCCAGCCTCCGAGATGAAGCTGGAGGAGGGTGGAGAGAGCAACTCCCAGATACCCCTTGTCCCACTGGGGCACTCCTTGAAGGCAGGGCTCAGGTTTGGATATTGTGGCTGTTTGCCCAGGTCAGGGCAAGTCCTGACAAGGACTATGTTGTGTGGGCATTACTAGAAATGGCTCTTGGTCCATCTAAGGTCCAGACTTGGGATGAGGCAGCTGAGGCAGCATGGGGGGTGAATACCTAGAAAGAGGGGCTTTTTCAGTGTGTGTGTGTGTGAGAGAGAGAGAGAGAGAGAGAAAAGCCTGGCTGACAGAGCTGGTGGTCAGAGCCTGCTTAGGAAGCTCTGGCTGTGCTGTGAGGACATCTCCATGTGTGTGGAGTGTAATTTATGTACCACTGTACTCTCTGGTAGGAGCTGCCTCCTCCCCTCCAGAAATAGGATTAGGAGATCTAGGGTTGGCTTAAAGTTCAGAAAGGATTCTCTAGCTGGGAGTATACACTACTGAAGTGGGAGCTCATAGCAAGGTGTCCTCCTCAGTTCAACCCTGGGTGCTTTTTTACTGGGAGGAGTCCCCGCTGTTCTTCCTTAGAGAGCAGACATCTCCAGTTCCTCTCCTCTTACAAGTTTCTCCACCCAGATCTCTCTTCCTTTCTGGCCTTCTCTCCTTTCCCTAGCTTTTCTCCGCTTCTCTGAAGTATTTCCTCAGTGAGAAGCAAGGTGAGACAGTAGGAAAAACTTCTCAAGTGAAGAGTATGAAATGGAGAAAGGCTGGAACCTTTGAGAGGAGGTTGAGAAATCTTCTAAGGAGACTGCAGAGCTGGGGTGAGGCTTTCTGGCCTGAGATGATGTAGACAGGTGTAGGGAGACTCCTCTTCATCAGCTCTGAACCCTTCCCCTCCTGCTTGGCCGGCCTGCGTGGTGTGGGGGAAGAGAACATTTTCTGTTGTGAGATGCTTCCTGTCGCCCAGGGTGGAGTTAGTTGCTGCTCTCCGTTGGGTTTTGGCTCATCTCTGGCTTGCTCTCTGCTGCCTCAGGATCTGGCAGATGGCATCAGGATCCTTATCTCAGGAATGAGCAGGTGTTCTCTTGGCCTGTGGCTAGAGGAGGCATCACCACGTCGTCCCGTTAGAGCTGAACTGTCAGCTTAACTACTCCAAGTTACCCTGGAACCTCGGCTAGGGGACAATTGGTGTCCAGCCAGGGGTCTGCGGGACAAGTGTAGTGGTCTCTGATACTGGAGTTATTAGAGGGGCCCATGCTGACTTCTCTAGAGCATTTCAAACGAAGGCACATGGAGGATTAAGAAAGTAAGTGGTAGGTGTGTCTGTTAGAGTAGCATGTATTTTTGTTTGTGTATGGATATGTCTCTGTAAGGATCTCTTTCTCTGTGTGTGTAGGAGAGTCTGCATAGGTATGTTTCTGCTTTTTTATATACACTTAAAAATTATTTTTAATTAATAGAATAAGATTTTATCATTAGTAAACATTTTTGAAGACTTGTGTTTATGCAGCAAGTTGCTTGGCCATGACAGCATGTACTTGTGTGTGTATGAGATACTTTCTAAGGATGAATATGGTCTCAGAAGACAGAGAAGGGCAGAGCAGGATGGGTAGCTCAGTCCTGGAACTGGGGCTCCCAGCCCCCAACTCTTTTGGTGACTGATAACAAAGGATGTAGAAGGAGAGTGAGCTATGGGGCAAGGTGAGGGGCCCAGGAGTGAGCGAGGAAGTGGACGGGGAGGGAAGCCCTGCATGCCAGGGGCACACCCCCTTCAGCTCCCTCTAGAGGTTTAACCGGTTGGGGCTAGTGCTTGCCTGGGGCTTTGGAAGGGGGAGGGAGAGGAGTTCGGTGGTGAGCTTCATGATCCTGGCTCTCCACCTGCTGTCCACCAAGGAAGCCACCCAGAAGGGTGTGAGGCTGGCTCTGTGGGGCTCTGAGCAGTGTAGGGAGGGAATCCGGATGGAAGAGAGAATGTGGAGGTGGCTGTTCTGGAGCCAGTCACAACAGAGGAAGAACACAATCCACATTGCCACATGTGGTCATGCAAGAACATCACTCACCATCGCACAGAAATGTGGCCAGGCTGTGATTACAGATGCCTGTTGTCACACAGGCATACACTACACCTGCACTATCCCCTTAGATCTCACACAGTCACAGGCACTGTCATTACACACGGAGGCACATAGAAAGCCATCCATAGAGAAACACACAGTCCCACATTCCATATGAGTGTTCCACACAGATGTACCCACTCTTTTGTCCAGCCTTCAGCCTCCAGACCTGGGATGCATGCACACACACACACACACACACACACACACACACTCCACAGCTATACCATCATGTAAATATAAAAGCAGGCATTTCCACCGGTAATGTGTATGTATGCCTTCATAGTGCACTATAGTGCACACAATAAACATATATGTATAGAATCCTGTAGCATATACATGATCTCATATATATGCATGTACATTAACAGCTCTATACACACAAACAGTATTCAGATGCAATGCTACATAATCATAAAATATTTACATGTGTGCACCATCACATAAATATTCATGCACACACAATTGTGCAGCCATGCATATATCAATCATAGCACACACACTCAGAGCCGCTCCTCTTCCCTGTGGAAGCCCCAGTGCGCCGCAGGTTATAGCTGAAGGAGAACGGTGGAGAGTTCTGATCCTGCACCCCTCACCTGCCCTGCCTCTCCCCCAGCACTGCTGTCCGCTGTGCGGATCAACGGGGATGGCCAGGAAATCCTGTACCTGGCAGAAGGTGATAACGTGAGGCTGGGCTGCCCCTACATCCTGGATCCCGAGGACTATGGCCCCAATGGGCTTGACATTGAGTGGATGCAGGTCAACTCAGACCCCTCACATCGAGAAAATGTGGTGAGTGCTGGACGCTGGGTTCCCTTTGTCCTATGCTCAGGGTGTTTTCTCACCAAGCAGCAACTTCTTGAAAGGAGGAAGGACAGATAAGAAATGCAGTACTTAGGTGTCCTAGGGAGTGAGGCAACAGGGAGGAGAGCTCTGCTACTACACAATCCACATGCTGCCACCCGGGTCCAAGAGGAAGAGGAAGTAAAGGACTCTGCCTTCCACAAGTTCCTAGCTTGATCTTCTATGTTCCAAAGTGCTTGATCTCATCCAATTTTCACATATTCTGTAGATGGTCATTGGATCAGGCCTCTCCATTCCCGTTTTCCAACTGAGAAAATCAAGTCTCAGTATAATTCAATAAATTGTCCTGAGCAGCCGAGCCATATGGCCTTTCTTTGCTCTGCCTGCCTCACAATCTCTGTTTCCCTCTCTTCTTCTCAGTTCCTTAGTTACCAGGACAAAAGGATCAACCATGGCAACCTCCCACATCTGCAACAGAGGGTCCGCTTTGCAGCCTCAGACCCCAGCCAGTATGATGCCTCCATCAACCTCATGAACCTGCAAGTTTCTGACACGGCTACTTATGAGTGCCGGGTGAAGAAGACCACCATGGCCTCCCGGAAGGTCATTGTCACTGTCCAAGGTATGGCTAGACTCCTCTGAGCACCACTTCCTCTGATTTCAGTGCCAAGGGCAGCTTGGCCACTCTGAGCCTGGCTCTGCCTCTTGGCTGAGTCCAGGCTCCCATCTATCTGCTTCCCCACAGCACGGCCTGCGGTGCCCATGTGCTGGACTGAAGGCCACATGACGCATGGCAATGATGTGGTGCTGAAGTGTTATGCCAACGGGGGCACTCAGCCCTTCTCCTACAAGTGGGCCAAGATCAGTGGGCACACTCACCCCTACCGTGCTGGGTCCTACCACTCCCAGCACAGCTTCCACTCTGAGCTCTCCTACCAGGAATCCTTTCACAGTTCCATTAATCAAGGTGAGCAGGCCATTAAGGGTCTGGGACAAGGTGTGGTGGGTGATGGGGATGAATAGAAGTAAGGACAGGGACTCTGGAGAACTCTGACACTTTCCTGGGTCATAAATGGCACCAAGGTAAACCTGAAACTTCTTTGGGAGACTCTTTGTCCTCCTTGGAGGATACTATTGAGGAGAAAAAGAAGAAGCAAATGTGGGTGTCACTCAAGAGCAGTTTGGTTAATTTGGCAACAATCTGAGATAGATAGAGGTGGGCTTGAGTCCTGGCTAGACCACTGCCTAACTGCAAAATTCAGGCAAGTTGCTTAACTTTTCTGTGACTCAGTTTATTTATAAATGAAAAAAAGAATAATAATCCCTACCGTCTAGGGGCATGTGAAGATCAAATGGGATGAGCTATGTAAAGCTCCTGGCTCATAGAGAAACCAAAAGTTACTCATAACCAAGCAAAGGATGTTAGAGTTTGGATGGCTAACATTGTCACTGTCCTCACTGTACAAATAAGGAGACTAAGGGTCACCAAGTCAATTGGTGGTATCCCTGTCCTATTGCTTGGGAATGTAAGGGGTGGTGGTGTCCTTTCCTTTTCACCTGTCTGCTTCAGCAAGTGGGAAATGACCACCTGGAAAGTGGAGAGGGTCTATGTATGTGCGTGTGTATGCACATTCATGCCTACACACCCTCCCTTCGTCCAGAGAGGGGCTTTGGCTAGGGTGGGAGCTTTCAGAGATCAGGTCCCTCTGACGTTTCTTTAGTCTCAGGCCTGAACAACGGGGATCTGGTGCTGAAGGACATCTCCCGTGAAGATGATGGGCTGTATCAGTGCACAGTGGCCAACCACGTGGGATACAGTGTGTGCGTGGTGGAGGTGAAGGTCTCAGGTGAGTGGAGCCACCCTGCCCCCCAATGTGGCTACAAGGATTGGATTGCCCCAGAGCTGTATTTTGGAACCTTAAGGGCTCTGACTTCTTAATGCCATTATCAGTCCACAGGTGGGAAGTTCTGGGAGAAATAGGTAGATGTAAGGGGTTAACTTCTATCTATCTCCTCCTATCTTCCCCACTGAACGTCCTAGAAGTCTACAGACCCCCAGGAACCTGGACACCCCACCCCACCCCACCCCAGCCATGGCCCTCGGCCTTTCCCCCCACAACCCTCCTGCAGCGTTCTGATCTCCATCCACTTCTCTCCACAGACTCCCGGCGCGTGGGCATGATCATCGGCGCAGTGCTGGGCTCTCTGCTCGTGCTGGGCTGCCTGCTAGTGGGCATCTGGGGGCTCGTCTGCTGCTGCTGCGGAGGCGCCGGGGCTGGCGGCCGCGGTGCCTTCGGCTACGGCAACGGCGGCGGGGTCGGCGGAGGGGCCTGCGACTTGGCTAGTGAGATCAGGTAAAACCTGATGCATGCTGCATGCTGCTGTGCGGCAGGGGTCCGGCGCCCTGCCCCTCCCCACCCCTGCCTGCCACCTGCCGGCTGGGACCCCCACCCCAACCCTGCCCGCCATCACCAAGGAGTGCTGGGACCGCAGCATGTCGACCTGACACTCGCCGCATGGCTTTTCTGTCTCCCGTTTCCCCACCCCTAGTCTTCACCTTTGCTCCTCTGCCCTCCATTTCCCTCCTGTCTTACCTTTCCTGTCTTGTCTAGACTGTAAGCTCCAGGAGGGCAGGGCCTGTGTGTTTCTCCCCCTCCCCCCTTTGCCTGTATTGCGCCGGCTAGGACTTTAGACATGCTTATTTAAGAAGAGCTAATAATAAGAAATAGTGCTAATAACTTATACTAGAAACTAGGAAGAAAAATAGAAAAACACTAGCAGCGCTAAAAACTGCAGTGGCCTGGGGATGGAGTAAAAGATGAGGGAAGATTGAGAGGCAGGAGGTGAGAGGGGAGAGAAGGTGAAAGGGCAAACTCAGGGTTAGTTAAGGGAAGAAGGAAAAGGCAGAGAGCCAGTGTTTCTGTGACAACACCAGTGAGGCACTTGATTGGGGCTGCCTGTTGCGGGCAGTCTGGACAGTGGACCAGCCCTTGTCTGGCGGTCCCGGACGGCCCCGCGGGGTCGCTGGTCCAGGAAAAGGCAGAGAGGAGAGTAGGTCAAGATCAAGGGAGCGAGGCCCCGTCAGGTGGAGGGAGGCGCGGGAGATGACAGGATTCCGAGAGCCCCCGGCTCTGGCCAGGCCGTGCCCACGCCGCGCCGCGGAGGAGCCTGCTCACCCGCCCGCCTGTTGTTTCCACAGAGAGGACGCCGTGGCGCCCGGGTGCAAGGCGAGCGGGCGCGGGAGCCGCGTCACCCACCTCCTGGGGTATCCGACGCAGAACGTCAGCCGCTCCCTGCGCCGCAAGTACGCGCCTCCGCCCTGCGGCGGCCCCGAGGACGTGGCCCTGGCGCCCTGCACCTCCGTGGCTCCCGCCGACTGCGAAGCGGGCCCCTCCCCGGTCTACGTCAAGGTCAAGAGCGCCGAGCCGCCCGAGTGCGCCCAGGGCCGGCTGTCTTGCAAGGACGGGCTCGTGGTGTGAGCGCGCGCGCCGCTCCGGGCTGCGCCCCGGCGGGGAGGAGGGGAGGGGGCTCTCTGCCTGCAGCTGGGGACTGGCTTGGCGGGCGCCGACCCCAAGCCGCTGGGGGCTGAGGGCTTTTCCTTCGGGAAGTGTGGGATGGCAGAGCCTCTTCCCTGAGATTGGGTGGGACCGAGGAAAGGCAGAGAAAGACCATCTAGAACCCTTCCTGCAACCCCGAGGCTCAGACGGCCCAGGGGAGGGAGGGAGAAGGAAGCAGAGTAAGTGTCCGAAAGCGACTGAGGCCGGAGGCCCTATGTCCCCAGCCAAGGCAGAGGACCCCCAGGGCCAAGTGGGGTTGGGGTCTGTACTGAATTATCTGTTTGTGAGATCTGAGCTCCAAGGCAGCAGTGTTAGCACAATAAAGAAACTGTATGACTTGAAACTGAGGTGATTGTGGTTGAGAAGAGCGGTGGGGCACAGGACGGGTGGAGGGTTCTTTCACAAGAAAGAGGGGTTTGTTCCCTATTTGCCATCTTACATCTACACTATCTCCTCGTTTGCTTTCCAGCCGAAGGTGTCTGAGTTAGGAGGATCCATCTAATCCTCCTCAAGCAACCCTAGTCATTCATACTGGACTCCTTGAAGTTCCCTCTGCACTATAAAGAGGGAGGCGCTGAGGTCCTTCAGGCTAACTTTAAGGCCAGAATCTTGCTTTTTTTTTTTATTTCAGAGGGTGGAAAAGGTCTCTTTCCTCATGGACCTAATCCTGAACCCTTTATTTAACCCAGGTGTTTGCCTTCCTTTTCAGCACCTAGGAAGGATCATACTCGGTGAGGTACTAAGGTCTTTAAAGTCATCTAACTCAATGCTTCTTTTGATAAAGAGAGTTGCCTTTTATTGGGAACTTACTGAATGCCAGGTGCTTTCAGATCTTTTATTCTTATTTGGTTTTTATTTTAATCCTGTAAGGTGACTCAAGAGAATTAGGTATTGTGATAAAAATGACTGCATCATGGCATAACCACCAAACTGCTGAGCTTCTAACTCGGCATTTGATCCAGGCATGTCTCACCCCAAGGACCTAAGGCTATCTCTGTTTGAGTTTCTTTTACTGTACTGTCAAAGAATTGCCCCATCTTTTTTTGAGTAGCCTACTGGCAGCTTACTGCCGCTCAAAGCAGTCCATTCTTCTCTATCCAATTTTTTTCTATTGAACCCAGTTTTTGCCCCCATATAGGTTTAAATCCAAATTCAGCTCACAGGTAGCCTCAAGCAGCACACCTTCCAAGTCAGTTACCTCTCAGAGACCAAGTGGTTGTAGTCAGTACAAGAGGGTTGCAATAGGTGCACAGCTGGAAGTGGATCTGGCTTAGGGGCTGGGAACCTTCAAAGAAAGTAGCACTGTGAGGTCTCTCAGTTCTACTTAGTTCTGCCTGTTGAGAGCCCATGCTCTTCCTTTTCTCCTGATTTCTTTTTTCTCATGGAGGAGAAGTTAGTTGAGCTTGTCAAGAGAAAGGAGACATGTTGATGGAACAGAGGAAGCCAGGGACATCTGTCTTGGGGATGGGACTATATGGAAGTCTCCTTGGGGATTGGTGATGGGGTTAAACTGTCAGCAGAGAAGAGAACTGCAAGACCATTTATTTATTCATTTATTTGGTCACTTTTATAAACCTCAACAAGCTGACTTAAGGTTGGGGTCCCTGGCTGGCACAAATGGTTAAACTCTGAAAGATTGGTGGTTCCAACCCACCCAGAGGTGCTCCGGAAGAAAGACCTGACCGCCTGACTCTGAAACATCACAGTCTTTGGAAAACCCTGCAAAGCACATTCTATTCTGACTTGCATGGAGTCATCATAGGTTGGAACGCACTAGTACTGCTCATATGTGTACAATGAGATGACTTCTTCACAGGTAGATCTCTAGCAGGGTGCTAGGCCTGCACACTTTTTCACGCAGACTGAGTAGGATGATCCTAAGGAGGGCCTCTCTGAGGAGCTCTGAGCTCAGCCTCCTGCCCGGTGATAAGGGGTAGACAGCTTGTGTTGGGTGACATCATCTTCCCCATTCAAGCGGCAGAGAAGCCTTCAATTGAGGGATGAGGAATGTGAGAGTCTGGCAAGAAAAGCTCATTAAAAAGCAGAAGAGAGTCCAGAGAAATTCTGGAGACAACTTCCTGTTAGGATGACTCAACAGGGTAGCCAGGGACAGTCTCCACTCTGAGGCCAGGATTAGTCACATTCATGGCACTTAGCGCCCTAGGGTGGAAGGAGGGAAGTTTCTGCTCAATATTTGGCTTCAGGGATCCTTTGGTCATTTTTGTTCATTTCTCCAGCATGAAACTTTGTCCAGTGTTGAAAGAGAGTTCTTGTGGTGATAAATATTTGACAGTTGACTTTTATTGGGAAGAGGTGTGGCTAGCCCTGATGGTTAGTATTTGCCTATGATCCTAATACAAATCTTCTCACAGTGGCCAATTTCAAGCTACCAATGAGAAGCCACTGGCCGTAGAGGTGGAAGAAATATGCAGCAACATATAGCCTCTCTACAATACAGATACAATACACCTAGTCATCATTTATTGACCAAAGAGCAAGTCGTTAAATGAAAATTGGCGTATGTGAAAAGGAGGATAATCACATTCGATCACAAATTGAAGGCTAGCTGCATCATTGCACAAACACCAAACCATTGAGAATCACAGCCAGCCGAGGTGACATAGAAACTTAATTGCCTCAAACTTCCACAGCCTTCATTACTGCCTGATAGATGTCATCAATTTGCAAAATAGTTGTATATTTTACTTTTTTAAAATGTGAAATGTCAGATAACAAAATAATTGACAGGAGATTGTCTGTCTTTCCCCTCCCCGCCCCCATGAGCCTCTAGTAGATTTCAACAGCTTTTGGGTTAGTAGCCTCCTGGCTCTGTGACCAGGGCCCCCCTAATGAGGAGTTGTTGTTATGTGGTGTGGAGTCAACTATGACTCATAGTGACCCTGTGAATGATGGCTCTGACCCTTGCCCTATCCTGAGCCAACCTCACCATCTCTGACATACATGACCCCACTGCCGCTGTGTCGAGCTGAGGTGATAGTAAAACAAACAACTCACCTCCTACTCTTCCCCCAAACCCTGTTGTCATTAAGTCAATTCCAGCTCATAGTGACCCTATAGGACAGAGCAGAACTGCCCCGTAGGCTTTCTAAGGCTGCAGTCTTTATGGAATCAGATTGCTACATATTTTTCTCACAAATGGCAAGTGGGTTCAAACCACCACCTTTGAGTTAGTAACTAAGTAGCTGCTTCAACTACTGTGTGCATAGATCCTCTATTATGATGTTGTTGCTGGATACCGTCAAGGTGGAACCGACCTGTAGCTGGTCCTCCAGAAGGTTTCAGAGGCAGTTAATTGCAGGGGAGGAGATTGCCTATTTCCCATGGAACAGCTGGTGGATTCAAACTGCGTGCTTTTGGAATTGCAGCAAAGCTCCTTGCCTCAAGGCCGCCAGCACTCCCTACGTAATAACAGGAATTAGTAATGAATATTAATCAGTAATAAAGTCATTAGGGAAAAGTTTTGAATATTTATAACCTTTGTTTTTTATTTAATTGGAAATTCATAATTTATTTTTTAATAATGACTGTGTGTACATCACAAGCAAGCAGGAAACCATGCTAATGTTACCACAAAAGAGGGAATCACAACCGTCGTTTAATTTTTTTTCTGTTTTTCCACAGAGGCATAGACATTGTTTCCATTCCACTTTCTGGTACATCTTTCTCCAGCCTTGCAAAATTGGGCTTCTACTTCCTTATGAAAACAAACAAAACCCATTATAATTTATATTCCCTTGGTAGTTGTGAACTGGATCCACAGGACTTCTCGGAATCTGCCTGCCAGAACATCCAGCTCTGGAAAACCTGAGTTCTTACTGACTCAGTTTCTGCTCTGACTTTCTTCCCCCAGGCTTTAGGAAGTCATCTTATAGTCATTGTCTCATAAGCCCCAAATTCTGAAGACCATTAGTGGTGTGGTATTACAGTGCCTTTTCTCCCATATATTCTGATTGAAGAGCTCTGAGTGTGCATGCAACTAGATCACATTGCAAATTAACATAGGCTCAGCCAGATGGTGGTGACGCTGGGAGGGATTAATTTTGTTTGGTTCATTGCTAACAGGGAGTTTTGAGAATTACCCAATCACTGTTCTCCCAGAGTCCGAAACTCCTGGACTCCTGTGGGTTGAGGCTGTGGCCTGCCAGAAGACAGGGAACTGGACCAGAATGTTAACCCTGGACCCAGAAGGTCCCTGGAAATGGAGCTGCCTCATTCTTTTTTCCTGGTGGGAGTCTGAAGAACCTTTGCTGTGGAGTTTATAGTTTATCTTTCCAAACCACCCTTCTCTGTTTCCCAAAGGACCAAGTTAGTAGCTGTCAGTTCAACGCATGAGGACCACGTTTGTTGTAGGGTAGAACAACATTCCTGCACTCTATAGGGGTGTGTGTGTGTGTGTGTGTGTGTGTGTGTGTGTGTGTGTTAATGTTCTATATCTTTGATTCATTTATAAAATAAACTTATTTATCCTTGACCATAATTCAACATTTTTTCTCATATCTGTTTGTTTTATTTATAACAGTAGATCGATTGTTAGGGACCATTAGCTCAGATTTGCACATCATTTTGAAGAGCAAACAGGAACCTTTAGTCTTTTATCCAACAGTGTTTTATTATAGGATATCCGTAAGGTTTTCAGGGATTTGTCAAGTGTTTTTAAGATTGTGACTTGTTAGAAGCAGATCAAAACCAAAATGTGGGTTTGAACTGCCAACCTTTCAATTAGTAGTTATGCATTAGTAGTTTATGCTGCTCAAGGACTCTTTATCCATCCAGCACATTCTGAGTAATTATTTATTCCTGGGACATAGAAACAATACCAGTCCCAGCCAGTCCTTTAGGGGTTAGATGATGAAGGCTGTCCTGAGGGAGTTAGAAACATGGATCAGAAAGTAAGGTGGAGAGGATAGTGGCTGTTTTGGGGAATCTGAAAGAGCTGAGGAGTGGTCATTCTGCCTGTAGGTGGAGAATGGACAAGAGACTTCATTTGCTCTTTTTTTTGACCCAGGGTCCTTCAGCATTCTTCTTAGATGCAATAAGCAGGATGGG